TTTCCCAGAACCTTCAAGGAAAGGTTCTCGGGGCAGGGAAGGTTAGAGCTAGGCCCCAGGGCAGTCAGAGGGGTAAGGGAAGAGACATCTTCAGAGGGACTGCCTGGGAACCCAGGAGGGACAAAGGGGTGGGGTGGGCATGGTCTGGAAGACAGAAGGCATTCCCCCAGTCACCACTGGGGCTCAGCGAGGCCAGGTCCATGCATCAGGAAAAGTAGTCCCCATGCGTGGGCATACCTTGGCTGCCACAGCATGTGAGAGGTCTGAGCTGGGGGCAGAATCTACCCCCACCTGGCTCTAGACCCAGCCTAACCTCTGCTTGTAGCAGTGAGTGTGGAGAGGACTCAGCCAGTGGGTGGTAGTTGCTGATCCAGGCCCCTCCTCAGCCTGGAAGGGCCTTGAAGGCTGCCATGGCCTAGGCTTGGCAGGGCTCCAACCTCTAGGCCTAGAGTTCCACCCAGCCCCATGGAGCCGAGAAGACTTATTAGAAACAAACTGTGGATTTCTAGGAAGCCACGTATGGAGGACAGCATGTACCTGAGCTGACGAGGAGACTCTGCTAAGAGGGAGGCCTCTAAGCTTGTCATCCACTGGGCATGACCACCCAGGAAGGGCTGGTCTTGACACTGCCATTAAGATCTGGGCTGTGGAGGAACCGCTCCGCATCTCTGCCCCTGTTGGGCCTCTGTGTTGAGGAAAGCAGGGACAATTACATCTCACATGGACCCTGGGGCAAAACAAAGCAGTCAGTCCCACAGAGAGACAGGAGGGTATATTCTGGGGAGGGAGAGACCAGGGGCAGTGTTGTATGTGCTTGGAGCAGGTGGGAGACATGGGAAGAAACTGCCTTCTTTGAGAGCCAAGGAGAAGGGGAGATAAGCAGAAAGAGGAACCCCCAGACATTCTACCTTAGGCCCTCTTCCACCTGCCCTCAAACCAGGCTTCTTCCGCTGTTTGGCCCATAGCTCAGATGGCACGACTCTCCTGTCTGTGTGACTTTCCAGCTGAGCTGCTAGAAGCTGACAAAGCCTGGATGCATCAGGAGCTGTTGCATAGGTGACGTGTGTGACACAGAAGTGGAGAGGAGCAAGGGACCCTCGGGGTCAGGTGTGGGGCCTCTGATGTGTTACCTGCCCTGGCCATGGGCAGGCCATGCTGGGACCACCTGTTCACTGTGGCTTCCAACTTGAAGGCATCTGAGTTCCAGGCCAGGACTGGAGCCAGACTCTTGGGGATGAGGGACACAGTGAAGTGGAACACAGGGGACACAGTGGGGTGGATCACAGGCCACCCAGACGTCACTGGGTCTCTGGGCCTGCTAGCCAGCTGCAAAGACAAACATAGAGGGAGTCTCTGCTTGAGGGTAGGACTGAACCTGGACTCAGGCAGTCTCACCTTCTGGTCAGACTCCTGAGCTGAAAGCCTGCCTGCCCAGGGGCAGGGAAGTGGGCACCTGTAGTCTCCCCAGAGTCCATGTTCCCTCCCACCAAAGTGGGTACCCTATAAAGGAGTGCAGTATATCGGACACTCCTTCCAGCTGGCTGTGGCCTCCTGGGGTGGTCTCTATGGCCCCTGGGTGAGTTAGGATGGGAGTCCCAGAAGCTGTGTTGGGAGGAGAGCTGGGTGCCTGGGGTAGAATACCTGACAGGCACATGGCAGGAGTTGTGAGCATTGGTTCCTCAGGACTGAATCCCTCTGCCCTGATGGCCTTGGAGACACTTCCGCTGCCCTGCTCAGCCCAGAGAGTCAGAGCCTGGTGCCAAGCAGCCTCTCTGCTTGAGAAGAACATATGTGGGGGTCATTACTCCTCTGCCCAGTACTCAAGTGTCTACCCTGTGGAAGGGCCAGCAGTCAAAGGAGGGAACTGTGGGTCTGGGCTCATCCAAGGCCTTGGTGTGGGTTCCCTAACAGTCAGGGGCTGTGGTGGACACTGAACCCCCATGGGTGAGGGGAAAGAGGGATTGGGCCGTGTCCCCCTGAGGTCAGTGACACGAGGCTCCAGAGGCAGACCAGTGCAAAAGGAAGTGATACAGGTGCCTTAGCACCTCCTCTGTAGCGGTGGGTTTGCGGCCCACATCAGGTGGGGTGGGCCTGGGGGCCAGAAGGGAACAGGGTCACCTGTTGGGCTTCATGGAAAGCAAGTCATGTACAGAACATGGCATCAGCTGAGCCGGGAGTCCTGAGGAATGCTGGAGGGGACCAGGTTCCAGGGGCTTGGGGCCAGAGGTGCCCTGAGGCCAGGAGGAGGGTAAGCTAACTCCAAATGAAGCAGGTCTGGAAGAAGGCTCCAAGCTGGCAACTGGAAAGGACGGAGTTCCCAGAAGCAGGGGACCTGGGATGCCCAGTGGGCAGGAAGGCAGTGTTGGGGGAGTACCAGGCAGATCTGGTGAAGACCAGTCCTTTAGCAGCTGGTGACCCTTGCTACCTGCTGGACTTGAGGCCACTGGGGTAGCAGTAGGCAGGGCTGCGGAAGAACTGGCCTCTGTAAGCGAGGTCCTGGTGTGTCTTCAGGGCCCGCAGATGGCAAGCTGAGGGATGGCAGGGAAGGCTGGGCATAGCTACCTGGCTCTCCCACATGGGGGAGGTGCCGAGCCTCATGGAAGATAGTCAGGGGCCAGGTCTGTGGGGGACCAAGGCCTCCCTGAGTAGGGGCCGTCTCCAAGGTCTCTTTCCATTCAGGGTAGATGCGAGCCAGGCCTCACTGAGGACACTTCAGGAGGAAGGGCCGAGGTCAGCAGACAAAAGATTGGCAGAAGAGCGTTTGTAGGGTTTCAGGAGAAACAGCGGCCAGGCTTCGAGTCCCACCTCTGAACTGCAGGTAGGAAAGGAGCTAGGGGCTTCAGTGAGGGCTTGAAGAGGAGCCTGCCTGGCTCCATCACCCTGCTCTGAGATGCAAAGGGTCTGTAGATGACCTTATCCAGTGGCAGGAGAGGTGGATGGAGCAGAGCCAGGTGTAGATGTTTTGGTTCCTGGCTGCCCAGCTGGCCAAATCCTTAGGACTGGCTCTGGGTCTTGGCATAGCCCCTGACTTGACGTGGCCATCAGCAAGTTCCTGGACCTCTGTTTCCCTGTCTGTAACCTAGAGGGATTGGTCCATGATGCTCAAAATGATTCCTGAACACCTGACTCAGAATCACCTTGGCAATTTTATTAAAACCCAGATTCCTGGGCTCTGTTCTCGATGGGGCCCTGGAAACCATTATCCAGGTGATTCTGTTTGAGAAGTACTACCTGGGCCCAGCCCAGCCCAGGAGCCTTGGATGGTTACACGGGAACCATGGGGCCAGAAGAGCTACATTCAGCCAAGGCCAAGTGGGCTCCTCGTTTCCCTGAGGGGGGACCAGCACACTTGGCTCCCCTCACCACACACCTTTCTTCCCTCAGCTCTCACCAAGGAATGGAATGGGCTTTGTGAAAAACTGAGGGGTGGGAGCACTGCCTCCCTCAGATGAGTCCTGAGCAGTCCTGTTCCTGCCTCAGCACCTGAGGCTTGGGCTCCTGGGACAATCACAGTTCCTCCCTCAGGGCAGGGCCAGGTCTCTGCCGTCAGACCGAGGCTCCCATGGGGAGCAGCCACCTCCGTCGGGCGGGTCCAGCTCCACGACTCTAACCCAGCCTCTGCACCATTATGGTCCTCTAGGACACAAGTGGACAGATGGACTCAGGTGCTGAGCAGCCCTGCCCACCCTGAGGCCTGAGACCCTGCCCTGAAACCATGGTAATCATTAGCAAGATGTATGCCTGGCAGGGAGCAGGGGCACAATAGGTGTGTAAGGAAGGATGAGGGTGGCGGGAAGGAGGAAGGGATGGAAGAAAGGGAGGAAAAAAGGGAAAAATAAAGAAGGAAAGAAACAGCCCAATCCAGCAAGGCCCTGATAGTGAGGTAGGTGAGGCTGTATGTGGCCGGCTGGGGGACCCAGGGCGACTCCGCCTGTGTCACAATCCTTTCCTCCTACACAAGTAGCCTCCACTGATTTTAACTCTGCACGCTTGAGTTTTCTGTCGACAACATGGACCACACCCCCGATTCTCCAGGTTCCAGGACTGAATGAGTTTGATGATGTGCTATAAGCTTGCTGGATTTAGAGCATGTCTTCTGGCCCCACCCTTCCTGTCCAGTTCCCTGTACCCAACACACAAGGTATTTTCCCTTTCCCAGACACATCTCTAGGCTGTTTAACTCACACACTCCACACCTGCTTTTACTACTCCTTCCTACTGGTCTGAAAGGCCCACTTTAGGCAGCAACTATTCTGGGACCGACACCTCATCCCCAGGTGAGGATAGGACCCGCCTGAGTTCTCAGCACCCTTCCCCCAGGTTGTCGCTGTGGGGACCATGTGCTGGGGTTGCCTATCTCCTGGTCTGTACAGTACTGGGAGTGAGTGCTGCCCGGGGCAAGGCCAGGCTCCAGCTGTCAGGAGTCACATGTAGCTGTGTACAGCAGGGATATGTAACTGGGCTTAGTGAAACCCACAGTTAAGCTAACTCCCCTGGCCTAGCCCCTGGAGCAGATGGGCGTGGAAATGGAAATCACATCCAGGAAGCTACCTCAGCAGCTCTGAAAACAAACCTCTTCAGGGGTAAACCCAGCTCAAGTATGGGAGGGGCTGTCCCTCAGCGGGAGTCCCCAACATGGGGAGTTGGGAGACCATTCTGTTCTATGTAGACTTCGGCGGGCACATCCTTGGTCCTAGGAGAGGGGCGTGTCCTGGGATCTGGTGAGCAGCATTTCTCATTGGGCAGTGAGTGGGCTGCAGACCAACAACCATCAGGACCCAGAAAGGTCTCAGGAGGGAGGGACTTTCCCAAGCAGGGAAGTGGCTGCCCAGTGGGCATGTGACAAGGGCCCACAGGGCTAGGGCTAGCTGGGACGAGGTTGATGGAGAGCCTTCTAGGCTGGGAGCAGGACAGCTATAGCCTTCCAGTGAAAGGCTAGGCACCTAGTGATGACATACTAAACTTATGCCCCACCCCCAACACACACACAGAGCCAGGCCGCAGGTCCAAAAACAACCCAAATGCTTTAATGTTTAAAGGCCCGTCTCCAGGGCCCACACCCTTCTTACAAACCTTAATGAGGCCAAAAGCCCAGCTGTGGGCTCGGTTTAGCACTACGAGGAGGTGACCTGTAGCAGGCTGACTATGCTCCAGCTTGGGAGCTCCAACATTCTCAGTCCCCATCTTCAGACCTCTCAGAGCTGAGCTGTCACTCAGCCTGTCCCTTCTAGTCCCTGCAGCTACCTGGCTTCCAGCAAACACACAACTTTCTCAGGATAATGCACCAGGTGGGGTTGGCAGCTCAGGGAAGTCGCTAGTGTCAATTCAGGACAGGCCTGGGACTTCCTGAGAGCAGTAAGCCCAGAAAAAAGACGCCAGCCCCAGGCTGTATCCCCACATCCCTGTAGTAGGGGAGGGGAGGGGCAGGCTCCCTCAAGGAGCTACAGGCCCAAACGTTTTGGCGGTAGCCCCAGACTTTCCTGGGGATGACTAGAAAGTGTGGGCGTCATATACACTGTTCATTGTACCACTCCAAGATAACCAACTCGCATGACAATGGGACTTTCTGGAGAAGGGAGAGAAAACCATATGGGTGTGTGTCAGGCATCACCCCCACAACAACCCTGTGAGGTAGGCTGTTTTGTCCTGTTTTAGAAATGGGGAGCTGAGGGCTCAAGAGAGAAAGTGACTTGCCAGGTTACACAGCAAGAAACACAGGAACCAGGATCCAAGCCCAAGTCGGTTGGGCTCCAAATCCCCCGTCTTCTCCAAGAAGAAACAGGAAGTAGTCCTTTCTAAGAGCAAGCCTCGAGTTAAAAGCTCAGGGGCTGTCAGCCCAGTGGCAGTGGAGAGGGGGGTGTGTGTGGGGGGAGGGCAGAGTGAGGGCCGAAGGCACTCCAAGGGCTTGTTCACTCCCTGGGCAGGTGGGAGGGAAGGGGTACAGAAAGTGACCCCCAAACAGCACCAGCCACCTGCGCTATAGGTGATGGCTCTGGCTGCCCAACAGCTGTGGGCGGGGCACGGGCCGAGCTGGTCCTGAGGCCTTGTGGCCCCAAGTGGGCAGTGCCAGGCCATTGAGCCAGGCGGTTTCCAGCAGGCTGCGGAAGCGGGCCCTCAATGGGGAGCTGGGAGGGCTGGTGCTGGTAGCAGGAATTGGTGAGGCACTGTGGGACCCTCTCCCAGCAGCTGCCTCTTTCTCCGGGCGAGGGGTTGGTGGCTTCCTCCCGGGCTTCTTGGCTTTGGGGACAGAAGACTTCTGGGCCATGGATAGACTCTCTGGCTCACCTCTGGCCATGGTGGGTTCTGAGGGCACAGATCCAGCCTCAGTGTCAAAGTCACCTGGAAAATGAACACCGTCAGGATACAGACCCCAGCAATGTCTGGTCCTATTATTTCCTGGCCTCCAAAGCCATCTAGACCAGTGGTTCCACTCTGTTCCAGGTCAGGATGGCCCCAGTAGAGTGGCAGAAATCAGACCCTCCTTTCCTGCATGTACTGGCTGGCCGGACCATTAAGCCGAGAGGGCGTGCTTCTCCCCAGGTGATGCCAGAGCTCTATCTGATGAGGACACTGCTCAGGAGAAGCTGTTTGGGTGCAAGGACAAGAGGAAAGGGGCCTGACAGGCCAGGAACCACTAGCCTGGTCCAAAGGCCCACTGTGCAAGTGGGGAAACTAAGGCATGGAGAGAGAGGGCTGTGCAGCAGAGCGCCACCATCTTTCTGCCACACCACCCCCAGGGCGGGAGCCAAAGTCCAGGCAGGAACTGCCATGCAAGCAAAGTCCAGATGGAGCAGGGTAGAAAGAGCAGTGGAGGATATGGGAGGGGGCTCCTGACCAAAAGTATAGCGGGGAGAACTATCTAAGGACACCACAAAAGGGTGATACCCCAAAGATGGTGGGGAGGACCCATATCTCAGGGAGGGAGTGGGGATAGGGACACCAAAATCCAGCCAGTGGCAGGAAGCTGGGCCTCTCATTTTCTCACCAGGTCCCAGACTCCTGCAGGCCCGTTCAGAGCAAGCGGGGACTGTGAAGAGCCTGGGCCCCATTGCCCAGTAGGCAGCCCAGGAAAAATGAACCCGTCTGTCTCTGGGCCACTGACAACCAATTGTACAGGGAGAAGACAGGGCCAGGGCGGCCTCTGAGTGATGCATGACACCCACCCACACTCTTTCTCACTCAGAATAGAAAGCTCACGTATTTTCTTTGCACCCTGTTAGGTCAAATTCCCCAACGTCTTAAGTGCTTAGGGGGTCAGCAAATGTTTGTCACCCAGCCTACAAGCTCCGTATCTGCCCCTCATTGCCTTAGGCCCCTTCTCCACTGGACCTGGAGCCTGGACCAGATAAAAGCCCAGGGCTTGCAAGGCTGCCAGGACAGGGAAGGGACAAGGAACAGTTCTGTGGATACAGCTGGGACAGACTTGGTGGTGAGAAGGCAGGGGAGCAGGGAGAGAGACAGAGCGGGCTTCGGGCCTTGATACCAGATCTCCTGATGCAGGAGACGCAGCAAAGGACACCACTGGGCACCATCACCAAAGTCCTGGAGGAAGAAGTGAGATGGTACACACCATGTGACACCGCAGCAGTTTCTGGGGGCAAGGTCAAGCTACATGAGCTGATCAGATGACGCTCTGTGACACACAGAGCACGCTGGAGAACAATGTGTATAAGACATCGTTTAGTTGGAAAAAGCAAACTACACATCAAGGCCCCAACTTATTGGGAAACTTTTGTAAATGCAAATATTTGGGAAGACTGAAAATTGCACACCGAGAAGGCAACCGTGTTGGGGGTGGAGTTCAGAAGATGGGAGGCTGGGCGGCACACAGACAGGGGAAATGATGTCAGATAGAAAACAGGGCCGGGGCACACCCCAAGAGCCCAAAGCAGCCTGCAGCAAAGGCATAGAAGGCACAGCAGAGGAGGGGCTGATGTGGGAAGACGCAGTGCCAGGACGGCCAGGACAGTGTGTCCACGTGGACAGAGCAGTTGGCACGTTCAGAGGCTTACAGAAGCTATGAAGGCTCCCAGGGATGCTTGGGGTGAAAGATGGGGGCCGCAAAGAGCCCACCTGGAAGGTCAGCCACTCCCCTGGCCCAAGTTCTGGGGCCTCCCTGCCTTTTCAGAGGCCCAGGACCCCTTGACCCCTGGCTGTGAGCATGCACACAGGCCACACACCTGTCACCGGCTCACACAGCTCCAGTGGCTGTCGCATGCTCACCCAGCTGGCGGCGCACACAGTCCCGCCACTGCAGGCCCAGCAGGTCAGGGTAGATGTCAGGCAGCTGGCGCAATGCCAGCAGCTTCAGCATGCGCGAGGTACAGCCTCGCAACGCCCGTTCCCGCAGCGCCCGCTCCTCAGACAGTGTGGTAGGCCGGAGCTCCACGCGGTGCTCTTGCAGCACCAGGTCCACAGACGAGGGGGGCAGCCTGGGGAAGAGCCGCTCCTTCACCAGGTGGATGGGGACAAAGATGGCGCCAGCCCGCACCACGTGGGGGAAGGGGCACTGCTGTGTGCACACGAAGCGCTGCAGCTGGGACAGCAGCTTGCCCAGCAGCCCCTGCACACCCTGGCAGTCCTGCCACGCTGCCCGGCCCCAAGGCCCAGCCATCTCAAGCCATTCACGTAGCTTCTCAGGCGGGGAGTGGGCCACTGACCCCGAGATGGCGTCACACAGGGACTCATGCAGTCCTGCAAAGCGCTGCTCTGGGGAGTCTGCTGTGGTGGGGGCAGAAGCTGGGGTTGGAGCCTGGGCTGGAGAAGGCGATGGGGCAGGAGTCAGGGCTGTGGCTGCCACAGCCACGGCTGGAGGACTGGGCAGCGCCAGGTCAAAGCAGGCCATGGGCAAGGGCTGGGTGAGAAGCTGTAGTCCGAGGGGCACAGATGTAGGGGTGGGTGCAGGCTGGGCAGAGGCAGGGGCCGAGGGGGGCACAGATGGGACCACAGCTGCAGGCAGGGGTGCAGGCCGGAGGATCTTGAACTTTCGGAACATGAAGGCCACGGAGCTGTGGAAGTTGGTCTTTGGAGTGGTCTCTGTAGTCACTGGCACCTCAGAGACTGTGCTCCCCATGGCTGGCACATCCATGGCTGCAGGGGGCTTGGCGTGCACTGCAGGACTAGGGACCTTGGTAGGAGGAGCCTCGGCCACAGACTTCTTCACACTCAAGTCCAGTGCCACCTCCTCCCTAAGTGAGCAATGCACCCTCGAAGGGGCCTCCAGGGCAGGCGGGGTTCCCCTGGAGTCTTTGTCGTGGCTGTCCTTGGGGGCTGGGGCTGGGGCAGGCTCAGGCTCAGCAGTGGCCTCTTGCGCCTGCCCATCCAGATAGTCACGGTAGGGGGCCAGGCTAAAGACATTGTCGATAATGGGCATGGGCGGAGAGCCGGACGGCAGCGCACCCTCATTCCGCGCACCCTCATTCCGTGGAAGAGCCTGGCGCTCCTGCGCGCAGGGTGGGAGTGCTGGGGGGGTTTGGGGAGCTGGACTGTCTGCGATGACAATGGGTGCCCCGGGGTGCTCACTGAGCTGGTGCTGGAGTTTCTCTTTCCTGCAGCTGGGCAGCCACACCATGTCCTGGGCTTCCCGCACCAGCTTCTCTGCAGGCCTCACAGGCTCTGGGTATGGCTGACTGGCAGACACAGGCTGGCTCGCCCGTTGGAAGGAGCCAGGCTGTGGCAAAACCTGCACACTGTTCTGGGAAGGTGGTGTCCCTCCGAGCCCCGGGGAAGCTCCACAGAGAGAGAGATCATCCCGGGCATAAGGAAAGCCCAGCGTCTGGGGGGCAAAGTCCAGTGGGCAACGTGGAGTGATAGGTGGCTCCAGCTTGAGGCTTGGTGAGGGTGCTGGGAGGGGGACAGGGGGGTAGGAATAAGTGTCCAGCCCCACTGGGGGCATACAGGGTGTCTGGGCTGCCTGCTGCCTCAGATAGGGGCTGTTCAGCCCACCAGCTGGGTACCCAGCCCCCTTATGGGCTCCCAGAGGCTGCAGCGGGGGAACTGAACTGTAGTTGCTCTGCTTCTCTGGGTGGCGACAGGCTGGAGGGCAAGACAGGGCCTGCGGAGGGTGGGGCAGTGGGTAGTGAGAGGGTACTGTATCCTGGTAGGCTGGCCCCAGGGGTTGAGCCAGCTGGGTCCAAGGACTGGGGGGTCCCTCGGACAATGCCTGCTTGGGGTCCCCACAGTAAGGACCTGTGTACTTGGAGGCCAGGAAGCCCGTGCTGTGGATGGTCCGATACTTGTCCAGGAATGCCTGGCATGGGGAGAAGCTCCTTGAGGAGTCTCTGCCAGATCCCCCAGGTGGCACCCCACGCAAGAAGGTGCCATCCAGGGACTGGCCCTTGCCAGAAGCCAGGGTCAGAGAACAAGGTGGGTCGGCTGGGGGTATTAAAGGCCCAGTTACCAGTGTCCAATCAACATCCAGTGACCTCTTCGCTGACGCTTCCCCCAGGCAAGTTGAGACCCCGTAACACAGAGGGCTGCGATAGACAGGCTTGGGTGCTGCCAGCGGTGGGCCTGAGTAGGAATGAGCCTGGGGACTGAGGGGCAGAAACTCGACAGGGCCAGGGTCCCGCACCTTCTCAGAGCTCTCTACTGGTGGACGGTAGAGCAGGCAGCCGGTCAACAGGTTGTCTGCCCGAAGTGGGGGTCCTGCCACACTGGTAGGATACAAGGGTGGGTACGGGGTCCAGGATGCCAACCGCTCAGACCCTGCTTTGGGAGCACTCCCCATGGGGCAGGAGAAGTAAGCACCCTTGTAGCTGCAGGGGTCCTGGTTACCAGCAGAAGGGGGCAAGTTGTGCCCGGGCCCAGAGTCGGCCTCTAGGCGGGGCAGCTTGCCGTACATCACAGGCCCCAGGGTGCCCAGTGGCCGCTTCTCCGACATCACTGTGAAGGCTTCAAGCCCTCCGGGGCCCCAGCTACTCAGCTGCTGACCTGGGAGAGAGAGGGAGGCATGGGCTGTCAGGGAGAGAGGCATGAGCTGTGAGAAAAACAGACCACAGGAAAGCAATAGAGGGCTGCTGCTTTCTCTGGCTTATTGCCACCCTTATGAACTTGGCACTTAGTACTGCTCAATAAAGACTATGAATGAATGCATGCATGAGCCATATAATGCAGAGGTTCCCAACTTTATTTTTGGACCCTTTGTTAACGAATTCTTATGCAGCTGCGCTACACATACTCTCCCATCTCCATTCAGGAGCCCCTCTGTTCTGCTTTCCTCCACATGACACCCAAGACCCGTCCTTGGGCTTCAGACTTTGTAGGGCATAATCTGAAGATCATTTCGTTGGCTACTCCCCTTCTCCATATACAGATGGAGACCCATTCAACCCAAAGTAACTGATGAAAGAGATGGGACGAGAGCCAGGCTTCCCACCTCCCATGACAAGCTCTTATTCCAAGATGCCATAGTGATCTCAGGATGCCCACTGCAGCCAAAATGTGGAATCGGGCATTGTCTACAAATTCAGATTTCCTGTGACACTATAGATCTGTTTCCAAAGAGGGCCATATATATGCAAAGTGGCCTTCAAATGCCAAGGGAGCCAAGACCAAAGAACGAGGCAGACAAGTCCAGCTTGTCAATTAATGAGTTTAATAGGGAACTTATGGACAGAAACGCAGTCCTGGGCGGCAGCAGGACAAAATGGATCCCGGTACCCTCCACCTCCGAGACCACATGCTTGTATCTCCTAAGCAGTGAGAATGTGGGTGATCAAAGGGATTAGGTGTTGGGAGGCTCTGGTATCAGAGCAAGTTAAGAGATAGATAACATCAAGGGCGACTTGCCCCAAAGAGAACTAATGGAAATCCTGTAATCAGACCAGAGCTCTGTGTACATATTCCAGAGCTCACTTGGGGGAAAGGGAGGGGGTCAAGGGTCCGGGTTCACCCAGATGTCAAGATGGCAGATTAGCTTTAAGATGGAGTCACTTATGTTCCACACAAGGTCTCATCTGCCAGTCTTATCAAAAATGGCAAAAGCCAGGCCTGGAACCCAGGTCTCTAGGCCCAGAGGAACACAGATACTGTGTTTGGTACCAGATGGTGGAGGTGACCCTCAGGAGAGGTGGCCAGATGCATCACTTGGTACAAGCCCTGCCCCTCTCACTCTAGCCCCGCCCCCAGCAGGAGAGCCAAGGCTGCCCTGTAGATGGTGCTGTAGCACCAGCTGGAAGGTCCCAAAATTGTAGGGGAGAGCCTGTGTTGATCTCAGTCCCTAAGCTGCAGTTGGCTGTTCCAGGGCACACAGGGGCAGCACAATGCCAGGACAAGCAGGTGGGGAGGTAGGAGGATGTGAATGTCCCAGGAGGGGGCCTCCAGAGCCCACAGAGTGGTAGTTGGCACCTATCCCCATTGTACTGATGTTAAAGCTGAGTGCCAGAAAAACACTAAGGCCTTGAAGCAAAGTCAAGCCAGGATTGGGACCCAGGCTCAGAGAGGTCAAGTGTGGGTTTCCTCAAGGCAGAAGGTACCATGGAATGATCCATGAGGGGTCATGAGGCCAGTCTGTTGGGCCACATTGACTTGCCTCTACCTCCCCCAACACCCTGTTTCCTGAAACCCTCAGGTGGCTTTAAAAGGATGAATCAGCTCAATCTTGCTATGATTAGGCCATGGGCCAGGTGTCACAGGTTTCTATCACCAACAAGCCAAGACCAGCCCCTTCTTCCAGCCCTCTCCTCCCCTCTGGCTGGTGGCCAATGATAGCCATAGGCTTAGAGTTAGGCCAGCACATTTGGAGACAGGAAAAGCCAAAGGTTAGGTATGGGGGCCAATGCCCATTCCCATCGCAGCCTAATGGCAACAAGGAAACCAGGTGGGACTCTCAGACAGCTGGCCCACCTCCTGGCCAGCCTAGAGAGGGGATGCCCCAGAGAAAGCAGGAAGGGGCATCAGGACCACAGTCCCGACAGCAGTGTTCTGTAACAAGGACCTGCATCCTAGGGAGATGCAGCTTTGCAAGAAGGGATTGTATGGTTGTGGGGTGCTGAGCCCCACCCTCTGCCCCGGGGAGCTCTGGAGTAATTAAGTGCTGGCTCTGGTCTCACCTCCCCCACATGCTCCTTGGGACCTCCCAATACGCACCTCCAGTACTAGGAATCCTCCTCTCCTGGGCTCTGCCCGCTGTGTGCCCTTTGCCCTAGAGACTTCCTGAGATACCCTGGGGACCCAGCCAGGAGAGGCCACTTGGGACCCTCAGGAGTCTTTAGGAGAGAGATGGGTGTTCCAGGGAGCCATCAGAGGACTATGAAGGGTAAGGGGGTGACCTTACCTCCTGACAATAGGAGATGGAGAGCACAGTATACACTCCCTTAAGTGAGGCTCCTCCCCAGTCAAGACAGTAGCCAAATGTAGGTGTCTCTTTCCCTGACACATATACTGAAGAGGCAAGCAACTGCTTGGAGGAGGGTGGGACTCCAGGGAGCAGGGTCACATCATCCTTTGGGCCACCCTGCTGTCTGCTGGCTAAGGCTGGAGTTGGGCTGGGAAGACCAAGCTCAGCCAGGGCCCAGGGCAGGGTCCATAAGAGCCCAACAGAGCGGTGTCATCCCCACCCTAAGCAGCAGGGGAGGCAAACAGCTTGTGGTCCAATTCCCTCTTCTACCTCTAGGGGGTCTCCGGATGGACGTTGGGAAAGACCAGGAAGAACAGAGTGATCCTGTCCAGCTGTGGCCTGCGTCTAGCCTCTCAGAGGACTGAATCGACCCCCTCCCCGTGTTCTCACACCTCCCGGAGCTGAGGTTCTGGGCCCTGCTATCGCTAGAACCTAAACTGGACAGCCCAGGCTACAGTGCAGAGAAAAGGGTCACGGGATTGGCCTCCACCCGCTTTCCTCTACCCGCCCCGCCTATAATTCTGGTGGCTGGGGCCCTGAGCCGACCTGGCTTTGGGGCTTCCGGGTGTCCCCACGCCCTGCCCGGCGGCATTACGGCGCACGTGCACCCCAGCAGGCTGATGTCCATGCCGCCGCCACGCATGCAAACCCGTGCCTGCAAGTATGTGCGTGGCCCACATCTGCACACACGCCCTCCAGAACTGCGTTCTCCCCTCGCTCGGGCCCCGGCACACGTGTGCACACAGGCAGGCCCGCGCACCGAGCCCCCACCGACCGACACCCAAAGACTGGCGGGAGACTCGGAACAGGGGGCGGCCCGGCCGCAGAATCCGGGCAGCCACCGCCTCGGGGCGATCCCGCCAGCCTGGGCTGCGTCCAGAGGGTGAGTCAAGCCGTAGCGAGGAAACCGCAGGGCCGTCCCGTCCCAGCAGGGCGCGTCCAGGGCCCCGCGGCGCCTCAGCGCCCGCCGCCCACCAGGCCCAGACCCCCGCCGCCCCCCTCCTCCAGCTCCGCCCGGGCAGTCCACGTGAGCCGGACCCCGCGGGAGGTCCGAGGGCTCGGCCCGCGCTCCTTCTCTTCAGCCCCGCGCCGGGGCCCTGCCAGAGCTCCAGAGCGCTACTGGCCCAGGGAGCCTCGAAGTCGGGGGAGAGTCGGAGCAGCGCCGCGACTCCGACCCCGCTGCCCGTTTGCCGGGGGCGGCGGCAGCCAGGAGCTGCACCACCTTGGCCCAGGCCCGGCGCGCTCCATCCCTGGGCCGGCCGGTAGGGGCGCCCTAGGGCAGCGCCGCCTGCCCCTTCCCCACGCGCCTCCCGCAAACTCGGCCCAAGTTTCCGCGCCGGCCAAGCGGGCGAGCTCCTACCTGCAGGGCGCCAGGCT